CGACACAAGTATTGATACTGGTACTTGGTATTGGCAAGAAACCAAATGTAAGTATTTGTATTTGGTCTGAAAATATAATCAGTATAATGTCGGTCAGCCTAAATGATCGGCTGATATTGATATGTAAACTGTCATGCGGCAATATTTTTTTTCTGGAATATACTGCAGAAATAAAAATTCTTGTGGTAAAATACTGGTGTCACTGTAAAATGTATCCATCAGAGTTGCTGTGATTTACAATTTTGTGGCAGGCAGCCCAGAGTAAAAGAGAAGAAGCAGCTCTCCAACTAGAACTTGTTGACAATGTTAAATTATGGAACATGTTAAAGAATATTTAACTGAAATATTCTTTAATAAAGTTATTTGTTAAAAAAAAAAAAGCAGCCTTCTGAGAGCCTTTGCAGAGTAATGTCATTGTCCAATCAACCTTTTCTATGCAGATGTCTGCTGTAAAACGGTACCGGTCTCCAGTACATTTGCACTAAAACTGATGTGTTGGCTGTGGCTACTTTTAGATGGATCAGGCTGCATGAAGTTATTACAATGCACATAAAAGGCTTATTGTCAGTCAAACAGTAACATTTATGATAGCTTATAATACTATCTCTCTATGGTAACAAAATGTAAAGTCATTTGAAACTTGATATTTGGAGATAAAGATAAACTTTAAAAACACACCTAAAATAAAATATACTATATAAAATACATAACTGATGTTTGTTAGTTTCATCATTACAGCCTGTCCTCTGTCTCCCAGTGCCTGTACAGCGTGAGTGAAAATGTAAAGCGAGATCTCCTTATGGATGGAAATAAAGGAAAAGGTGGAGACAAAGAAGGGATTGTGTTTTCCCAGAGTCCATTTTTAATGCAGAATAATAAAGCATTCATACTGTTGCTATGGTTACCTGCAGCATATCTCACTGTAGCTTGCACATAGCTTCTGAATTGTGGGTGTACTGTTGACTTTTCCAGATGTCGCCATATAAAGAACAGCTGCCAGCCAATCACAGACAGCTTTTCTATAACAGTGGGTAGACTGTGCAGCATTCTATTTCTGTCTATAAAGTAGCAATTGTCTTTCATTTTTAATGATTAGTCATTACTAGAATACCTATCTATTGTTTTCTTGGTGTACATCATTAGATCCAAGTGCCTCTTACTCTGGTCTTTTTCTATGGATTTGAAACACGGTTGCAGCAGTAAACCGATACCATACTGTGGTATGATAACTGAGGATTATCATACCATGTACATTGTATGGATCCACTCATTAATCAACTCCTATTCATTATTTAAATTTAAATGTAGCATACAGGGAGCTATATCTGTATTTCATTCTACAAGCTTGTGTTGTAAATGACAATATAATAACCTTGAATTCTTGATATCTGCACATCATCGGTAACAGCTGATAAAGGCTTTAAAATTAAACATCTGCAATGTCTTCCGATATGACCAACAAGATGACTAAGAAACGCAATATCTGTTCAAATAAACGCAATATGATATTTTTACCATATTGTGGAGCATTACGTAAAAGACGTACAAGTACGTCTGCGGTGTGGAGGTCTTTTAAAGTTTCCAAAACTGATAGCAAAGTAGGGCTGCACGATACGGTAAAAGAAAAGCATGTCAAATTATAATTTAAAAAATAGTTTTTAGTCGTCAATGTGCAGTATTTCAGCCAATATGATAACTGACAAGATAAGTGATCAGGATGTTCCTAACCCGTAGTTTAGGAACTCCGTAGGTTAAAGGCTACAATGTAGTGAGCAAAAGTTTATAAATGAATATGCCATAGCTCTGAGCTTACCAATCTGACATTACTATTGTTAACACAAAAACAACAACAAACAGTTTTGACTCTTCAAATAGAAAAGACTATCAGTCATTTTGCATAACAAGTCCAAATACAGTATCAATAATATCAAACGATAACTTAGTGGTTGTAATTTAATTATCTCTATAATTTATAATAATATAAATTTCCCATTATCTGCCGATAATTTATCCGTCCCAATAATGATCGTTCATCCCCACTCTAAAAAGTAATTTAGTGGACTTATTGTCACCAATTAATTAAATGCACGGTTGCATTGCACAAGATAAAACCTGTAATTTATTTTGTTAGATAAACCTTTTAAGTTGCAAACATTTAATTCTTATTATTTAATGAGTTGCATTGCCATAAATAACATGGAAAAACTAATTGGAATAAGTTAATTTTAAAAAAAGTAGCCTATTAGCCATTAGCCTATTTAACTTAACTCAGTTTATGCTATATAATTATTAGCGGTAATACCTTTAACTGTAGAAGAAAAGCTCATTCTCCTAACTCAATATAGTACATTTGTTGAACATAATGTCATTAGAAGTTGCCATAACTCAAAAAGATTGATGCGAACTGCTGCGTTATTGGTCGAAGGGTCAAGGGTCACTGTAACTGGTACTCACAATAACTGTATCATACTGTGATAATCTCAACCCTTGCAAAGGTCTTCATTATGCTAAGCTGTTAACGTGTTGAACCAAACTCAGAGCCGCATTACTGACATAACTTTTCTTCACTGCCTGATTTTCCTGATAAATGCTGAAATAAAATAAATTCACTGGATACATTTCTCACAGTGATGGCAGTGTGGGGATTTCTGGGTGCCCAGGTCTGATAACAAACAGGCATTTGAAACTTTCTGTCTGTTTCTGTTATACAGACGATAAATTGTACACACTGTTGCCAGATTATTGGGCCCACCTATTGTAGCTAAAACTAACAGTGTTGTAATAAATCCTACATTCATGAAGGTTCTACTGGTTTTTTTTCAACTGCTTTAGAGAGGTGTTGATTCACTCATGGTTCTGGTGGATTTACACTGTGGATAAGCTAAAGGCTAGGACACACCAACCCGACGGCCGACCGTCGGCAGAAAAGCAGTCGGACTGATCAGTCGGTCAAAAAAGTGCCTCCGAACACACCAAACCGACGGCAACTGGAGCGTACGTTCTGCGCGTGCGCGAGGCGTAATACGTCCCCGTACCAGCAGGCAGCACTAATCTGTGTTGTCGCCCCAAAAAAATGAAAACCGGAAATGACGGATCACTCTAGACCTAGTAAACACAGAGCACGCTGTCAGTCATTGTTTTCATCAAAGAGTGTTGATAGTCGTCAAGAAGGATCGTTATTGTCATTACTCGCTGAACGGAAAATACGATGGCTAATAATAACAAGATACTGGCGTTGTCAGCTCTCGGGCTTCTTCTTGTGACTTGTGTCACTTCCGGTTTTCTCGTGCACTCACTGATTCGCTAGTCAAGGGCGAGCACTCCACCAATCAGATTGGTCATTGAGGCCGACGGCCACTGGCCGATTCTACATGTCGAATCGGCCAAAATGACGCCGACGCTGACTCCGACTGACGACGGCACGGGACACACCGAACCGACTCGAGTCACCGACCTCGCCCGACTGCCGATAATCAGGTTGGTGTGTCCGGGCCTTTACACTAACTGAAGACATATTCTCTAACTGCTTCTGGCTTGATGGTATTGATACTGCTGATAAAGTGAACAAAACAGTAACAGTTTTACTTGAGGCAGTGACTCATTACATTTTGTTGTGCATTCAGTCTAACAGCGTATCTCACATGTTCACTAACACCGTAGAAACTGGCAATGCTGTCCTTCTTTCCATCAAATTATGTACAGGGTCCTTCCATAGTCCATTTTTATCTAGATGAGGTAATATTCCAACAGACGTCACTACATTTACATCTCCTGCTGACCAGGACACAAAAACACGGTTGCCATTGACAACAAAAATGCCCATCATATTACAGTGTTAACTGACAATTCAATGAACACAAAGTCTATTGTTTTATAGTTTCAAACAACACTTGTTCACCACCTACCCTCCGTGGCCACTTTATACAGTGCACCTGTACAATCTGTGGCAATTCAGTACAACAGCACTGCAATAAATACTACACTTACAAAGCTTATAATGCTCAATTTCTGTTGACACCGTTTGGAAAAGTGTAAATTCATTCAAATCCACTACTGAATAAGGACTGTGGCCTTATAAGCTGATCATGGATCCTGACTAAGTATGAAGTAGCAGTTCTGTTCCAGATTTCTTTGAGCCCTCTCTCTGTTAACATGTTGGCCTAAATCAAGCCTGGCACAAACACACAAAACCCTGGTCCTCCTTTTTTTTTCTATTGCTAACACATTTGAGAATATCACATTGAAGTCTACAGGGACTGATATAACTTGGAAAGTAGTTGCAGAACTAATAAATAAGAAGTCGCTGTAAGAAAAATAACTTCTTATGCAATATATGTGAGCAAACAGCCTTAATACATGCAACTTTCTTTCATGCAGGAAACGTCACACCAAACTGCATATAGAAATGTTGCAATATAAAGTGGCCATCATGTGCATGATACATGACTCACAAAACAGAACTCTGGGCTTCTATCACATTTTCAGACGTAAGATTTGAATTCGGGTTCAACATAATGCTCATTCAACAGGTGAACCAGGGCTAAGAGTTCAAACTCTGCTGGAAGTGTTGGTTATTGTTTTGGAGCTAACCCGAATTGAAGAAGGTGGCCTATTGAATAGTATTTAAGTACTTTTTTATCTGGTCTTTAGCAGCTGAGCCAATAAACACTGAATTAGTCAAAAACTGAATGGGGTTTGGTCTGTCTAGAGCAAAAAGCAGACAGTACAGTTAGTGTTCTAAGGTCAGCTCATCAGCTGATCCAGGAAATATGGTTTCCTCCCTCCTCTGTGGGGACAGTTTGTGGTCACAATGTCCACCACAGACTGTCACTACACTGTGCACAGACAGGAAGCCCCCTGCACACCGTATATTCCTCTACAAGTGACAATTAAAGCGTGTATGTTGGTGCCAGGGTCAAATCCACGTAGCAAGGAAGGCGCTGGAAGTGTTTGAAAGTCCGAAGCTGTCGCTTCGTTTTCAGCCACTCGGTTTTCTTTACCTTGCTGAAGACCTCCAGGTCTTCGTCTTCGTCCAGGTCCAACATGTGTCCGGAGAAGTCCGCGGGGACCGTCTGTCCGCTCATCTCTCTCGCAAACTTTTTCAATGGACCGAGCTCATGGGACAGACCTGAGGTAAACTTCCAGCACAACTTCCCAGCGGGACGACAACGAGCGCGAGCCGACTGCACTTCCTCTAGTGGGTTTCAAAATAAAAGTCAACTTTCACAAGAAATAATATGCCAGGCTTTTTCAACAAGCAATCTGTGGCAGCATTCCAGAGATTTCACATCAGTGTTTTTACAGAGCTCCAGACATTTATTTTATGAGTGGTGTAAAAGGAGGTGCAAACCTAAATTTCAATATCCAACATGAAGCTTTATAACTAGGTTCCAGAAAAAAGACCAGGCCTCGAACAGGAACCGCTGGGACTCTAACCTCTAGAGCAAAGAAGAGATGGCTCTGCCAATCTAAGTCTCATCTCCCACATGGTTCCCTCCCATCTTCTCGCCATCAGCTCAAACAGTCTACCTCCAAACTCCTCCATCCATCCATCCATCCATCCATCCATCCACCTCACCCTTTCTCCCCATGGCCCTTCATCCCTTGACCCCCAACCGTTACCTTAGTTCCCTCATCCACCATCCCTAGACCCCCTCTGCATCCCTGCATCCAGCCTACAGATTATTATCTTGGTTCACCTTTATCCATTGTATAAAATAAACCATTCCAATTCCATATTTGTTGTTGTTTTTACTGTGGTCTTTGTTAATGAACTGTGTTGGTAAATGACAATTTAATTACCTTGTATTATTGTGCTTAACATTATTAATAATAATACCTATTGTCTGCCACATAGAGTCTTTGTAGCATCAGTGTTTACAACATCACACAAGAAAAAGAAAACATGGGAAAAAGTGGATGTGGTGAGAAATATAGACAGTATTGTGTCAGGTTAAATACACTGTACTGTTCTACAAAACTGAATGAAATGTGGTGTAATCTTACAGCATGTGATAATTCTTTAATTCCATCTATTAAAACTCCTTTATATCTGTATACTCCCATACCACGAGTCTGGTTATCTGGCAATAACAAGCACTGATCTGGTGCCAGTTCTCTCTTTTCACCAAGTGTAGTGGACTCCTTTTTATGGTAAGGTAACATGAGGCCAGGGGTCACTGTGGTTGCCCACCATGACTGGATGAATGTAACTGATGGAGGAGATGTTACATTTTCTGATGGCACTGACCACGTCACATTCGGCTGATACCTGATGTGTAATAAGGAAAGTATCTAATACGTTTTTGCATTTGGATGGAGTCAGATGACAGTAATCATTGACATGCTAAAAAGTTCTATCTTTATTTTACTGCTGTAGCGTACTTCTAGATTTCTTTTAAATATGGAACTTTTGACTTTGATGTGACTTGCAGAACTTTTAAAATAAATCAATAATCCAATTCAAATGTTCAAAATTATTAAACTAGATTATCAAAATATTGCTTATTCATGTCCCGTTTTTGTTCTCTGTTTTATCACAACTCTCATGGATGTGGTGCGGACTGTTTCGGATGCTTTTGTTTTTGACACAAATCAAAGTACTTCCGGTATAGAGCTGGCGATATTGTCCCGTGTGACGTGCTGAAGGTGGAGAGCGCAGATGCGGAAGGATCCGAGCAGCACTCACTCCCTTCATGCCTGCTGGGAGGAGCACAGCAGGGCTGGGAGGTTACTGAGCTCTGAACTTTTTCACACTCCACTCCCACCAGTGGAAACAAAACCACGTTGGACATGTTGTGTACTGCGACTGGATCACCTTCAGTAGAAGAAAACAGTGGAAAAGAGAATGATTCATGTAATACAAAGAGGAGAATCTGTGGCAGGCCACATTCTGCCCTCAGAGGGAGAGGAAGAGTATGGAAGCCCATTGTCGCCAATGTGACGGGAAAAACAAAGATTCTGTAAGTAATTATAATGAGAAACCTTCAAAATATCATCTAAGTATCTCTCAAAAACATTATTGTGGAACATAGTAAAGCATCGAATAGAGATGTGTTAAGGTGGTATTAAAGCTGCAGGAACTAAACAAAAGAACTTTTTGTCACATTTGCTGAAACTTGAGATCAGTAAATTGAACTTTGCTGAATCCTGAAAAGTTTTAAATCACGACATTGTTTTTTCCCCCGAATCTTAAGACATTTTTCCAAATACCTGTGTGTTTTCATTGACCTTAAGCCAATCACTGCGTCCAAAATGTGGCTACAACAGATCATTAAATTCTATGTGTTCATTTATGTTTTTAAAATAAATCTAAATTCTAAATACATTTGACAGCATTTCAGTGTCAGTATCTGATGACCTGGGAATGAGACTCAACAATCAACTATCTTTCTTGGCTCTGATTGGTTATTTTTGTTTAGACATGATGGATTCTTGCAAAAACATTATTAGTAGTAGTATTAGGAGGAGCCAGAGGAACCTGTTTTTTTTTTCATATTTTATCTGACTCATGTTCTACTGTCAGGATATAGTTAAAGTTTCAGCAAATATGACAAAAAGTTATTTTTATAAAAAAGTTCCTGCAGCTTTATTACCACCTTTTAGATATTTCTATTCAATGCTTTACTATGTTCCACAATAATGTTTTTGAGTTCAAATATCTTCACTTTCCAAGTAAATATTGATATATGTGATTGTGATTAAATCAGCATATATTTCTGCCACCCTGTGGACACCCAGTGAATATTTCTGTAGATCCGCCCCTGATTATAAACCTTTATAAGCATTGCATTTGAAACCTGTCTATGCATATTAATTGAGTTATGCAGTGGTGCACATATTTCATACAATATTGTGTAAATATACAGTGTTATTTGTCTTTTAACTATGTGCATCTAGTTTGAATTGTGAGCTCTTTTTAATTGCCATTAATTAATGTCGTTAAATGCAGCAGTAAGACAGTTTAAAGGCTCCTCTATGGAAGCCCATTATGCCAATGTGACTAAAAAAAGGATTCTGTAAGTCATTATCATGACCTAGTTTCTTAATATTATGACTTTGTCATACTAAGCCATTATTTTTGTATTTTTGGATATAGTGAAAGTTTCATCAAAAATGACAAAACGTTATTTATTAACTATTGCAGCTTTAAAATTAATCTGGACCTGCAAAAGTGTAGTTTATTGATAGTTGTTGAGATCAATAAGTTGCACTTTTGTAGGTTTGGGTTTAAGGATTGCCATCTGGTTCCATTATTGAAGAGGCAAAACTCAGGAACTCACATCAAAACTATCTCGATGGATAAATAGCACTACAGGGAAGAGGACAAATATGTCTTTTTCATTTTGTGGTGAACGGCCCCTTTAATATTTATCTTTACTGGGTGTTAAAGGTCTGATCCCATCAACCAAAGCAGCTTAAATCCAGAAATGTCCTGGTTTGACATTCAAATGCTATAACACTGTAAAAAAAAATGCAATTTCCAGGGGTTTTCCCATTTATTTTACAGATTTCTGTATTTTTTATTTACATGTAATGTGTGATATATTGACACAATTACCAAAGCCATGTAAAATAATGTTAATAATCTGTAACTGTAAATAATCATAACATTTTACAGTTTCTTTAAACATTTACAGTTTATTTAATAGATGAACTAACTATTCAAGCTTAATTCTGTAAATGCATTTCTTAAATTGTGTAAAATAAGTGACAAAATGTATTTGTTGTATAATTTTATATGGATTCGTTTGTTGACAGATATCTTGAATAATCATGGAAGTTTTCACAACAAAAACATTGAATACATTTTGTTTTTGTGTAAGCATTGGTAAACTGTCAAAATACAGTTGTTATCACTGAAAACAGCAAAAATGACTGTAATTTGACACATGGTAACTTTTGTTACAGTTCTATAACTTTTAAAATTCTGATTAAAACAAGAAAAATCAAATAATAACAGCACTCTTCTGTAAATGTAAGCTTGATTAATTATATTATATCAGCGTTCGCCTGTATTTAAAGGTCACTTCATTGTTTTTACATGTGTAAATATCTTTAAATAAACATTGAAAAGCCAAAAAAGATTTTATGTAAAATTGAAGCTAAAATCTGTATTTTAATTGTAGAAAATTACTGTAGTCGGTTAGTTAATGTTATTTTAATGTCTTTTTTTTGACGCCATAGCTGCCGGAATATTAATGTTGTTTTTTTTTTACAGTGTACTGAAAAACCTGATGTAATGTCTAATCTTTTTTTTTACACTTATTATCAGAGGTAACCTCCAAGTCTCAACCTGTAAACACTTCCAAGACCGGGGCTTTTATTTTCTGGCTGCTTGAGCTCACCTCTGAAAGCTCATTCCATGCTCAGCCAGCACGCTGCACCTGAAACAGTATAATAATCCTGCGTATTTGTCAGAGCAACACTCCCTATCACCTTCAGCCTTGTCAACACACGGATGCACAGTCAAACTCTCTGTCGCCTCGAGGACTCAAATAACTGTTGGAACACAGAGAGAGAGTGCGGGCTAACACGAGGGGGCTGTGTACAGATGGAACGCTTATTTGCATAATGTGATCATAATCTCTACTCACTGTAGAGCGGCTGGCCGGCAGGCAGGCTGCACTGAGAGGCAGCCTCAGCTCCACCGGCATAGGAAGAACCAAAAGATGTCACTGTTGCACAAGGCAAGCGTGTCACACCCCCCCCCCGATAGCTGCATCCTGGCCATCGATCACAGGCTGCACTTCCCTCTTTGTGTTCATCACTGCAGTTGCACACACTTACCATTCCTTCACTCCGCAGCAAACACTGCTCCAGAAAGAAGAAAAAGGAAGAAAAACTGATTATTTTTTCAGTTCTTACATATTTTTAGAGTAAGGATTGCGTGATATCACATAGCCATACATCAACATGGGTGTGACCTCTCTCGCTCTCGCCTCTCTCTCTCTCTCTCTCTCGGTCTCTCTCTCTCTCTCTCTCTCCCTCTCTCTCTCTCTCTCTCATTTCCTGTCACTCTCCTCCAGCTGTCCTATCCACTGGTTCCAACCTGCGGTTTCTGGACCCCCCACTAGGGGTCGCCAAAGCTTCAAGGTTAGATGTGAGACCTTCTTGATTTTAAGGTGTGTACACAAAATTGAATATACACAGTAGGCCTATATCTCAGCATTTCGTT